CGCGCACATAATTTTGTCTCTGCACAGCTTTCAGTATTTTGATCATAACTTTCTCTATCGGTGTTCGATTCAGGTTATTCAAAGTGCATTGGAAAGCTAATTAAAAGATATACAATTCTTCTAGAAATAAAATTTTTCCAATTCAAACGTTCTCTATCCGAAAAATGGGTCTCAAATTGATCAAACATCTTGAAAATATCTTATATGATTGGAAGTCGATTTATGGTAATATTCTAATCATATCCCTTTCCTTTTTGACTCCAATTTGCATTCAATTGACTCCTATCAATCTTCAAAATATCTTTTGTGGTCCAAATTAACCATTAAATATTTACACTTTGGTCCCCATACTTTGGATTTGTTTCATTTAGCCATTTATCATTCTTTTTTCCAATTCTTCTTTGAAACTTGAACTTTTCCTAATAAAAGCAATAAAATAACAAATCAGGTACTAATCCATTCAAAGAATAACAAAATATCATCATTTAGGATCTCGAATAAGTGTAAAAACTACACTCATCACTTATGGAGAGAATCTTAGGACCTAGCTCTGAATACGTGCAAAGCAATGTAAGAGTTTATGGGGGCCGTGATGAGAAATTATTTTGTATAGTTTTGAAGGGTGTTAAGATAACTGACAATGACCAACTTTGTATTGCTTGATGATGCTGATAAATGTGATCTTGTTTGCTGTAATTTATTCCACACTGAGTTAGAATTTTGCTGTAATTTTTCTCCTCATTGTTGTGTTCATTGCAATAACAGATTAGCTGATACTTTTCTGACCCTCAATCCTATTTCCAAGTGAATGACCATCAAGTAAGGAATAAATTGAAGCTTGTTCTTTTCCCATTCCTTCACAGGGCAAGAGTTCTTCCTCCATAATATTTTATCTTGCACTTGATCTGTTCCATTTCTGAAGTAGTCCTCTTTTTTCTTAATTTACTCAGGGTCACTGGACAAGAATCACGGAGCCAGTGAGTGGGAGGCTCTCAGACAAGCCCCCAATTTACGATATCAATGCTCACGACTTGTACATTCCATTCATGGCACTTGGTACCTATGTTGTTCTTGCTGGCTTATTATTGGGTCTTCAAGGGAAGCAAGTCTGTCAAGCCATCTCGCATGTGTTTTAGGTGTCCTTTTCTGTAGCCTGTTATTGTTTCTGTGAGACGCAAACCTCTTGCTTTATGGTTCTTGGAGAGATTATATGAGTATTGCAGATAAGAAATGAATTCGATAGTTATATTCCTCTTTTATTAGTACCATCTTGAATAGCTATAATGGCGTCATAGATAATTAGAATATTATATTGCACATTCTCCTTCACTCCCTTCTCTCCTGTCAGTCTAGCTTTCTTATTGTCGAGTCTTCATGGACAATAATAAATTTCAAAGAGTTACCCTCAATTTCTATTGTTGGTATTCTTCCCAGTCCCCCCTATCTTCCCTCTGAAGCCAGTTTCCTTTATGTGAGGAGAGAACATGCACAGCTTATTTTTAAAATTGAGTTGATCTGTCAATTTTTTTGGCAGTCCCAAACTTCATTGGGAATTTTCAAAGTTTACTGAGAAGATGAATGGACATTGTTGAATATCTTTTGCTTCTAGGTGATTACTTGCTGATGATACCATATTAAACATTTTTTCTTTGTTTTATTACATCAAAATTCTTGTTAAACAAGCTTAAAAATTATAATTTGTGTGTGGTACTAGTACTACCTTTTCTCCTCTTTCTTTCTAATGGTTTGGTTCTTCATTTAATTTGCTATACTACGTCGTTTACCAGATAAATTTGAAAGAAATTTGCTATTTGTACACTGATTTTTGACACTTGCATTGTTGTCAAGTGTCAATTGGATGAAAAACTGTTTGAAATTTAAACTGTCTAACAAAATAATGACACGTGATAAAGTGTAAACTAAAGTGTACATGTAGCAAGGTTCGATTTGAAATATTTTCCTGATGCTCCCCCACCCCGATTCTCATTTGGACGTGTTCTTTTACCTTACACCATCTCTAAATTCTGTACTTTAGTATGCTTCCTGCCTTCTCTCTCTCTTGCCGACTCTTACATGTAATAAAAGCTTTGTTGTCATTTCTGTTGCTTTCCAGATTTATCCTGGAAGCTTTGAACTGGCTGTTCGCCAAGGGCTTGGTAGGCTGGTGCTTGCAAGTTATCCTTCTGAAAGCAACATTGTTTACATTGGGTAGTGGCGAGGCACCTTTGCTCGATATCGTAGCATACGCTGAATACATTTCCACGGGACTGTCTGTCTGGCTATCTTGGGAAAGATTGTCTGGTACTATTCGTACTACTTTCTGATGCCACGGACGTGTTTATGTATGGGGATTTTCTTGGTGAAGACAATGAAAAGAGTTCTTTTTGCTTAAGTGAGGAGTTCCGATTCAAGCAGGCATCATTATCTCCTGCTGCTGATTGCCTTGGCTCAGTTCCCATTATTCATATGGCTCGGGAACATTAGTCTTAACTGGCTTTTTAAAGATGTATGCCACTTCAAGAAGTTGTGAATAGATCTGTGTAATGAGAGTCTAAATTTTTTTTGTAGGCAACTTTATTAGTAGATTGTTTGATCTCTTGGATACTGGCATGTACTGTGTAACATCATCATGTTTGGTAATGAGCACTAATTGATGAACATTTCTGTTATAATAGGATGGAACCGGCAAAGCTAAGCAAGGGATCTGCTTCGTTTTAAGCTTGATTAGTAATTAATTATAAACCCTTAAACAAAGTTCTACGATGTTTGAGAGGACGCAGCAAACGAAGCAGATCAGTAATTAATTATAAACCCTTAAACAAAGTTCTACGATGTTTGAGAGGACGCAGCAAGTAATTTTTGGAAGAAAAAATTTCTTGCAGGACAACCTAGGACTTGAAGTTTCAAGCTGGTGAATTCAATTATTTAGATTTCTTAGGGGGTGTTTGAACTACATTATTTTGGTAATAATGCATTTTTGAATAGTGTATTAATAGGAAATGTGTGTTTAAAAAATAAAGAAATTTTTTTGATTTGCGTGTAATATTTTTTTATTGAAGAATGTGTGGTTGAAATGATGTCAAATCACTGTTTAAGAATACATTTTTTTGAAATAATGTGGCTCAAACAGGCTCTAAATCTTCAGCTTCATCAGAGCTCCTCGAATTTCAAACATGCCTTAAGTCAGGTAACAATCCAACCATAATCAAAATCCTTAAATAACTTGTTTTATTTACACATTTTGTGAGACCAACTACAATTTCTCCTAAAAAGTTATTAATAATTTTAGACGAACAAGCTTTTTATCTTGATAGGTGGTGAAGCTTAGGTTAACGGACATTTTGAGTTTTGATACGGGGTGAAATTTGAAACTAAATTAAATCCCAATGATCTAATTAAGACAACCGTCCAATCGAATTTATATTTTCAAAGTTCAGTATTGAAAAATAAAACCCATATTTGGTGTAGTAAAAAATAAAATTTTTAGTAGATTTTGATAAAAATTGATAAAATTTGTGGTTAAAATGTTAATAAAAGTAGTGAATCTCATGAAATGTTGTTAAAATTAATTATTGATTTGATATAGATTTTTAACCTTTTAAGCTACATCAATCGGGGTTAAATGTGTAGGCACAACTTACATCGTTGTCCATATTGAAGTCGATAAGTAGCAGTAATGCGATTCCCACAAACGGGCAACAATTCGATCCAGTTACGTAATATTCTATCAATTTTAGCATTTAGACTTTTCGCTATGAATGCCCTCAAATTGTTTATTTGCAAATTGTTTGATAAAATGCATTGTTGGAGCGAACGAGTTAATTAATCACATTTTTTTCCCTATATTTCAATTGAATTTCAGGTTCACGAAAAATTTCTTGCTTTCGAAGCTCGTCTGATTTTGTAGTATTAATCGTTTTTAGCTAAATCGAATGCTAATTGTGTCAATTTTGCAAAATGATCGTGGACGATGCCAGTTCGGGCGGGCAGGCTCTGGAGCCCGGTTTGACAATAATTGGGCCAAATTATTTATTAGGCTACGCCGCTACGCAACAAATATCACTGACGTCAAAATATATCATGGGTCTGTTCAAAATAGAAAATATTCAATAAGGAGATAAAAATAAATGTTAGTTATGGCCTTGGACCATTAGTTCATATAATATTATTGAAAATCCTTATATATTGAAAATAATACACATGCTTGGTATGATATTATTGAAAATCCATATATATTGATCATAATGTCATCACGTTGAAAATAGTTGTAACTGTATCGACGAAAGGGTTCAGTAGAACTAATTTAACAATTTTCATTAATACTTGTCAAGTGATTGAAAAAGAAAAATATTTCACGTAATCAAAGAATTAAGGAATGACATAACTTAATTAGGTTTCCTAATGATACAAGATACAACTAACATTTATGTAGAGATATGAAGAGTTCAATTTAGGTTTAAGAAGGACCGATGTGTACATTCTTGTTCCCTCGTTAGGATTTATTTTATTGTACACTAGTTACATTTGTACGAAACAAGATTAATAAAGAAAGGCAAGTACAATTTTTTACTAGTGTTTTTCTTCGCGTGGAATTCAACTTCCCTAAACACAATTCGTTGAGCAAAATAAAGAAAAAAAATTAAATGAAATTGTGGCGTTTTAAACTTAGATAATTTGTATTGTTGACATATTTTCAACATTTTCCAATATTTATGCTAATTATGGAATGTTATTTTGAAAAATCTTCCCACCAATTTAGAAATAATTATAGATTTTTTTCTTCATCAATTTGATTTAGCAAACATATAATTTTGGGCACCATCATTAGACATTGAATGATCACGTGACGATTTAACAAAATTTTGGACAATTTTGTCATTGGGGGATTAGTTTAGGACCGGTGTTGCAAATATTTCAAAATTATATTTACTTAGTCAGCCCTCCTGTTTTGTGCTATATATACTGCAACACTGATCTCTCCATTTCACGTGTGACGCACACATAACAACACACGATTTTCAGTGTTGTTCGACAAACAATTGTTCTCTTGCTGTCTTTCCCAGATTCAAAACGCTACAGATTTCAACACACTTTCATTGGCCCATTTCATTTCCAATCCAAATTTCTTAAAAAGTTCAGTCTTTTGTTTATACAGCGAGGACATAAAGTGAAATCTGCTTGGTCTTGTTTATTCTCTGCGTCACAGGTTGATACGAACAATTGAAGACCCATTTCTCGTTGGATAAATATATGGTAACACTAAACTTTTGAGCTCATATTTTGATACTTGGAACTTCAAATCTGATTTGTTTGAAGGCATACATTTATAATTATGCGTGTTTCTTTTATGGGTTTTTGGAGATTTGTTTCTTGTTTTTGAGAAAGTTTCCATTTCGCATGAAGAAATTTATCTTTTTTTCAATAGACTAGCAATTTACACTATAGTCTTGTGCCTACGGTAGTGACGTTAGAGAAAAGTTCACATTTTGATTTGGATTTTTCAACTGTCTTTCCCAGGAGGAAATAATATTTCTGAATGTTTGCTGAAAATTTTGGAGACTGAAGATAGTGCCTGAACAGTGAAAATCGATGTAATGTGTTTAATGAAGCATTTCGTCTTGGTATTTTTTCTCTGCATATAACATAGAGACTATAATTCTGATTTTGGAAAGGAACAATCAATGAAGAAGATTTATTGGCTTTTGGGTGTGGTTTATCATCAGTTCGATGTTGCCATTTTCAATGCGAAGGCCAGGACTGTTGTATTTTTTTATGTTTGATATGTACAAGGTTGTAGAACTTACTGGGGAATTGACTGAAACTGAGTGCTATTTTTGGTTTATGTGATATTGGAATGTTTTGATAAGAAAACAGATTGTGGGGAAAACAGGATTTTTAAAGGGGCTCTGATGGCATCTATTAGGAGAACATTATCTCCTGTGCTTCGACCGGGAACTTTAATGAATGGGGAAGCATGTCAAGTTGCATCTCCTTTGTCTAAGTCGTCTTCAAACAGTCGGAATTACCCTTTGTCAATGGGTTCGTTGGGCAATGCATTGTACAAAGCCCAATATTTTGTACTTGGTCTTCTTTCACCCCAATCTTCTCGTCCCTTAGATAGGTCAAAGGTGAAGGGACAAATTTGGCAGAGAGCTTTTCTGCATTTCTTTATATGTTTTGTTATTGGGGTTTTGTTTGGTCTTACCCCGTTTGTTGCACTGAATTTATCATTCAATGTTATGTCAAAACCCCAAGCTATCCACTTCGAGGTGCTCCAACCAGTTGCAAACCGTCTGGGTGACAGTGGGCACAGAAATGAGACATCGGTGGTGGTAGTTGACAGATTGTCCTTAAATGAAAATACAACATTAGAGCCACAAAGGGAGAGTGTTGAACCAATAGATGGAATTTCTGATGACGATGTTTCGAATAATTTGATCTATGAAGGTTCAAATTTGGGGCACCATAAGCTTTTGATCATTGTGACACCAACATATGCTCGTCCGCTTCAGGCATACTACATGAATCGTCTGGCGAACACATTAAAACTGATCCCACATCCTTCTCTGTGGATTGTAGTGGAGATGAAGTCTCAGTCATTGGAAATAGCTGACTTATTGAGGAAAACAGGTGTCATGTACAGGCATCTAGTATGCAATAAGAACTCAGTTAACATAAAAGAAAGTGGTGTGCACCTTAGGAACGTGGCTCTCTCACATATTGAAACACACCGTCTCAATGGAATTGTTTACTTTGCAGATGACGATAACATATACTCCGTTAATCTGTTTAACCAAATGAGACAAATCAGGTACTTCCTTTATTTATGAATAACTCCATATGCTACATGCATATATTCAGTTTCCTTATGCAATCTGGACTCAAATTTTCTCTATAATATTGTCTGATTCTGAATTATATCAGCACAATGAGACTGCAGAACCTTGTAAAGGATATGCTCATTCGCTTGTTAATAATTGAAAAAGTGTGTCAACATCTGTGAGCATGCTTTCTTAATGATATTAGCTTGGAAGTTGCAATATGAACAATATAGGTGACTATTAGCACGTGAACAAATTTCTTATGCTCTCGTGCCACAAATGCATGCTTGGTGTGACTAGCTAGTTCTCTGTAGTATCTTTATTTACTAATACCATGCTTAGTTTTTAAGGTAAATGTATTAAAGCTTATTGTAAGATATATTTATTAGAATTGATTGCAGATTATAAAAGAAAACTAGGACAATCATACTGCTCTAAACACTGATATCATGGTTAGAATAAAATAAAAAGCTGGACGAAACATGATTCTTTCAAATCAAGTTTCATAAGATTATATCTTTTGTTAACTCCCCACTCTGCTGCCACCATTTCTTGGACCGACCAAAGCCTCACCTGTACAGGTACCTATGTAGTATTACCTCGGTCGGACCTTCAGTATAGTGTAGGACTCATGTGCCTTCCTAAACTAGGGGTCTTTGAGCCTACAGAGTTATAAAAAAAGATGACCTATTGGGGTTCCCCCCACCTGCCTTCGCCTAGAACATTAGAAAGGGTGAGAAAGAGCTTGCTGCTGGTTTGGAACTCCCCTATCTATTTGAATTGTGCAATAGTGAAAACAAAATGTAGATGTGTATGTTGAAAATATGAAGCATGCTTTCAACGTTGAGGCAAGTTAGAAGAAAAGTTAAACGTGTCAAAGGAGTGCCGTCCTTTTGGTGGAATTGTTAACAATATATATTTTCTCAATACTTGTGAAAGTGTAATCATGCAACATCTTGCTTAAACTTAATATTTTCTTTTTATTTGATCTGTATAGATTGCATAGGGGTTGGCAAATCATGCTGGCTATAGTTTTACTTTTCTGAGGTTTGTTTCTACTGTCACAGTCTTAATTTATAGAATGCCCTATGATTAAAATATTGTATCTATAGTCTATTAGGAATATTGCTGAGATACTTCATGGTGATACTGTATGGAAGTTTCAGGTTTTTGTTCTTGGCGGATAGGCAATCTGAATTTGGGACTGAATTTACTGGAGGTGCTTTTAAGGATAGTTCTATAAGTTGCTGATAGTGAGCTGTAGACATGTTTCGGTTTTGTTGTGTATACAAATGACTTTTTAAAATTGAGTTACTGTAAAGGGGGTGAACCTTGAAGGTGATTCTGAGTCACATCTTGCCATTGAGTCAAACTTTTTAATCCATGCACTCTGGCAGAACATTTCAGTCTCAAATTGATTATTCTTGTCAGTGATATTCATCTTGGAGTGAAAAAATTGATTATTTTTGTCCCTGGTGCCTCTTTTATCGAAAATTTTGTGTCAAGAATATAATTTTCTAAATGCAGGCAGTTCGGTACCTGGGTAGTGGCCAAGATAGCAGAAAGAGAAACACATGTTGCATTTGAGGGTCCAGTTTGTAATGGCTCTCAAGTGATAGGATGGCACGCGACTGATATGACAAAAAGATTTCGGAGATTCCATGCTGAGATGTCTGGTTTTGCTTTTAATAGTACTATTATTTGGGACCCAAAGAAATGGAACCAGCCTACACTCGAACCAATCAGGCACCTTGATACAGTTGAAGAAGGTTTCCAAGTGAGTCTCTCAGTACGACTTTGAATTCAGTAAATTTTAACTCTATATGGAATTGTTTTAATCCTAAAAGGGAAGGAAGAAGACTATAGGAAAGAACAGAGAAAAATGTGTTATCTGTATCTTTTTCATGTTCTGACATTATCTGTTTGCATTGCAGGCAAGCACATTTATCGAGCAAGTTGTGGAAGACGAAAGCCAAATGGAATGCATTCCTTCAGACTCTGAAACTATTATGGTCTGGCATCGTGACAAGGACTTGTATACCCATCCTCAAATACGGGTTGTAGACAATGGCTTGAGTATTATTGTTCCCCTTGCATAAAGTTTTTCGCCTAATTAGAATTTCAACATGGATCCAGGTAAGAATTGTGCTTTATTTTTAATTTTTCATCTTTCTTATTTTTTGTAATATGTTTCAGTCCTTTTTCATGTGACGTGTGTTTATCTATCCTTTATTAAATTGCAGAGAAATTTGATCAAGAAGTAAAATTCATCTGTGCTATTCAAGATCTGAAGCTTAGTTATTACCCGTTCAAAGAGCATTGTTGGAGTCCAAAGCGTCGAAGATGGAGATATTTGGACAATACCTTTTTATAATCAATCATTCCTCATTTCCTTGAAGTCGAATATTATTTCTGTACTGTCACTGAGTCTGTGCGTACCTCCATTAAAGGGGGAATGGTTGGCAAAACTTGATACGACTTGTGTGATTAGAGTTGTGCAAGATCAGGCTGTTTTGTTGAAGGTCTTTATAGAGTTTCTTTTTATACCAAACACTTGCATTTATCATTGTTGTGGAGAATATATGATATCTCTCTCTTTATTCCACAAAGGTTTGTGTATGTAAAGATTGAGTGGAAGTTACTCCGTTCTTTCTCCACTATGCAAGATCACATTTCGCCTTATTCTCTCCAAAATCCGAAGTGTAGCTTAGATGTTTTGTTGGGCTGTGTGGAGCCATTTACACACTTGTTACCTCTATCTACAAAATTTTAGGGAGGTGGTTTGAACATGTCAAGTGAGTGAAGAAAACTTTACTTTTCTTCTTCTCCATTATATTTAAAATCGAGATAGCCGAGAGATGCAACTCTGACATTGAGGGTGTTCGTTCTTTTTATTTCCAAGGCGTAATTCGTAACATGTTTCCCAACCAATCACTTGTCCTCCTTGCTCTTTTTCATGGCTCATTCATCTCGTGTTCTTCTCATCATTACCCTTGTAATCCTAATATGTCATCTTCTTGTATTCTCAACCATATTATTCGTAATCGTTCTAATCGACTTTTTTACAATATTTTCTTTCATTTCTTGGTTATTTGTCTCTGTAAAATTCAAATATTGAGCTAGGTTTTGTGCTTGTTCTGTGCACTTTGATGCAATATATTGTTGACATTGCATTGATTTCAAAGCCATTGATTGAAGGTGTAAGATGAAATTGCTATTTAGGTCTTTTAGTTATTTATTAAGATGTTACTTTATTTGTCCTTTATTTGCTATTTAAGCCTTGTTAAAGACTCGATTCTTTGGTTGGCTATTATTCAATAAAGTAAATCTATGTTGGAAGTTATAATTTAATCTCAAATCGATATTGTTATATTAAATTATTAATCACCTGTGATTCTTGTTATTAATTCTTCGTTGTTTCTTTATATAGAAACGATTAAAACAAATTTAGTAGAGTAACAAAATTGGACATAACTTAGAAAAGATAAAATACTTACAAATAACATTCCAAATGAAGTTCATGTCTAAATAATATTGGTATCATAAGTATGAAAATTATCAAATTTAGAACTGAATACAACGTAAATTACATAAAATTATTATTATTATTATTGGTTAAAATATATGTATGCTTACCGACAGTAGGAGATTTTCTCTGCTACTCACAGCAAAAGGCCTCTAAGCGTCGATTCAATTTCAAATGGAAAGGATTTTTTGAGTAAAAATTTATTCCCTTTTTCTTCTTTATTTTCCAATTCCTATTTCTTTTTCTTTATTTAAGGGCTGTTTGGACCCGATTTTTTCATTCAAAAAATTGATTTTTTGACCGTTATTTTATTATTTCAACCGTCATATTTGACTTCTTCTATCACAGGTGAACCCCACTTTTCTCCTAACGGTCAAAAAATCAATTCTCAAAATCACTCCCAAACATGCTTTTAGTTTATTTGAATTATAATTTTTTGCCAATTTTTATCCTTATTCCTTAGGATTAAGAGCATGTTTGGGCCCAATTTTTCACCCAAAAAATTAATTCTCAAAATCACTTCCAAACTGCTCTAATACCGAGTGCCCACGATCCCACCACCTCTCTGTTTCTCTGCCACAACCCGAATACAGAGAGAGAGAGAGAGTATATAACCCACCAGTCCTCTCTACCCTCACAAATTTCATCAATGGAACGTATGTGCACAATCCCCCAAAACCCGTATTTTTGTACTCCAATTCTCGGAACTGCTACAAGACTTCAAGTTTCAATGTCCCCACATGCATTTGCACTAAAATGCGTGTCTAAATCCAATTCAATTAATTTCCCTAATGTTCAGAAGCCGGTAATTGACGATGTTACGGAGGCTCCCAGTATAAAACCTACTTATGAACCTACACCTTCTAATCGCCCTACACGAACCCCTCACAGCGGGTAATTTCAATCATTTCCGAATTCTATTAATGTTTCTTAATACTATTTAATGTAAGATTCAAAGTGTTGCTGTAATTATTAAGTGGAGTCGTAAAATTCCTGTCAATTGCCAAGTGTGTAAAGTTTTATTTGTATTATGATGATGTTACTGGTGTTGACCTGGCTTCAACCATGAATGCGAGTTAAGCCCTGAAAGCCATGCCCGGATTAATTTCAAGCGNTGATGATGTTACTGGTGTTGACCTGGCTTCAACCATGAATGCGAGTTAAGCCCTGAAAGCCATGCCCGGATTAATTTCAAGCGAAATGCGATCCCTAAGTGTAAAAATTAATTTACATTTCTCATACTTGATAAACAAGGATGGCGATGGAAATTGAAAACATTGTTAATTTTATCTGTGACCTTTGTAAATATAGACATAACTATTAGCCAAGCAATGGAGAGGTAAAATTGAAATGACTTTTGTTTAGTTGGCTATGGATTGTATCTAGTGTTTTTGGTTTCTGTTACAGTTCATTATAATACTTATTTAGTTTTAGGTTTATTTTTATGCAGGTACCATTTCGATGGTACTCCTCGAAAATTCTTTGAGGGCTGGTACTTCAAGGTGTCAATACCAGAATGTAGGCAGAGTTTCTGCTTCATGTATTCTGTGGAGAACCCAGCATTTCCAAAGAGATTGAACAGACTAGAGGAGGCACAATATGGACCTCGATTTACAGGAGTTGGAGCTCAAATTCTAGGGGCTGATGACAAGTATATTTGCCAATACACTGAAGAATCTCAGAACTTTTGGGGGAGTATGTCTTCATTTACTTTGCTCATATCTGGCTGGTAACAGTTGTTTGTAATTGTTAATTATTACCTATTTTGGGCGAATTGGTTATGCCACGATATAGTCAATATATTATGTTTTTTTTTCCCCACACTGTAGATGGCCTTTATTTTCATAACATTTAGGTAGTCAGATATCAAAGAGCTCCACTCAAATTAGGTGGGGAGGGAGGGTCTCCTATGGTTGACCATAAGCAAGTAAATTTTACAGTTAGATTTCTTTTACCTGACTAGGTTTTTTATCTGGATGCCATGATGCTTGTTTATTGCCTACAATGTTTTGGACTAGAGGGGACCTCATAAGACTTTTCCTACAACTCAAGGTTCTAAAAGGCGTAAGGCGTGGCAAGCCTAAAGGCTCGTAGGCGTAATAAGGCTTTTCCTATTTCCAATATATTTAATTATTATGGACCAATTAATAAATAAAATAACTCATATCTTGCAAATTTATAGGAACTCATACATATTTTTCAAGTTTCCAACAAACCATAATTTTCAAAGTCATTAATACTCTAAATCAATAATGTTTTGTTCGTGGACATGGAAAGCTATGTTCGTTGAAGGGATTTGGGTTAGGGTGGGGTTTTTGGTGGACTTATTTCCATTTTAAGTTTTAGCAGTGGTTGAGCATTTGTTGAGTTTGATTTCAAAAGAAGAAAATCACTTGTAAAAAAAGAGGGAAAAAAAAAGAAAAGGCACGCCTTACGCAGTGTAAGTAGAGTTGACTATCTATTTTCGTTCCTAGGCGAGCCTTTTAGAATACTGATACGGCTTGCCTACCCTTCACGCTCATTTTTTTCTTCTGTTTCAACTTGGCATACCATTTGCTCTTTCAGAAATCTGTTTAGTACTTGCATTTTTCATACAACCAGTTAATATATTGGTGCTGTTAAACCTAACCCGTATCTAGCACAAACTTCTATCATCAACTGAAATCAATTGTTTTCGGGAGGATATTTGTTCGTTTGTTACTGACTTACTGTTAAAATTTACCTCAGTTATATCCGGATTCGGAGTTTTAACATTTATTTTCCTTTGTTCTTTTCGAAAGATAGAAGGATATCTGGCCGATACCCTTCCCTCTTGTTATATCCCCCTTCTATTGTATACCTTCAACGGAACCTCAAGTCGTTATTTGATATTCATATGATACATCATACTGCCGATCATTATTATAGAACTGTTCTTCCACTTATCTTATTGATAATTGCCTGTGGATAGGTAGGAATGAACTGATGCTTGGAAATACTTTTATAGCCCAAAATAATATGCAGGCTCTGAATAATGAGGTTCCTCCGCAGGTCAGCATGCTTCCTCTCGATTATTTTCTTAGCTTTTATATTTTGTTGTCATGAGTAATTTATGTTGAGTCAACTTTTTGATAGACAGCCAATGAGTTAATGTTTTCTTGACAATAATTTCACCTTAACGAGCTAGCTTCACTAGTTCTACGAAAATGATGATCTCATCTGCTAATATGATCGCCTGGTGTATGGTAGTTTTAGTTATAACTAGTATAAGTATAATTACTTCCTGAAGACCTTTGTTTTAAATGGCGTCTTCTGACATTTCGTTGAACATTATATCCTTACCTCATAATGTATTAATTGCATTAGTTAAAGCTTGAAACTTCAAAACATAGGGATAGGGATTATCCATGCTGCAAATACTTTTTAGCCTGACAATTTTTCATAAAGAGAATATCTTCCTTTTTATCTGCACTAGCATCAAATGATCAATTCCTGTCATGATATTATGTACCATATTTTGCCATAGGTTGATGTATTACACTTTGCTTGTTCAGGAGTTCAATCGAAGAGTTTTGGAGGGTTTTCAAGTTACCCCACTTTGGCACCAAGGGTTTATCCGCGATGATGGGAGGTAATCCTTTCTCCCATAACTTTCTATAATTCCGTCATGCATTATATTCTACATCAGATGTGAGTATTTTCTTAGATTTTGTTCAAGCGACCACTAGAATAGCAATACTTGTCAGTGATAGTTGTGTTTTTTCTTAGTTTAAATGATTCTACGTTTTATTAAATCTTTATATGGATAGATAGTCTTTTATAATATTAAGAACCTATATTCACTATTCATTTGTTTATTTATTTTCTCATTTTCTGGTTGGCATTGGGTTCATTCTGTGTAGGGCGGACACTTTAACTAGGGTAGCTTATTTATGTTCGACATGTGTTGATACCGATCTTCCTCGGACACTCTACCATAATTATTTTTCTTTTTTCATTAAAAATGTTATATATTTTTAACCCTAGGTTATTAGTAAATAACAAATAGGTACTATATT